TCATTTTCATTTGTAGCAGTAATATATGTAACCTACCGGAAAGTGTTCGACAGAAAAATGTAATGTATGAAGAAGATAAATGTGAATTTTAAAAATTTTTAGAAGTAAATCAAGTTAGGTGTTGAAAATATTGTAAACTTTTTGATATACATGTTTTATCAATATATTTTTTTCACCTCTGACCAAAAACATGTAAAATATAGGATCGTGTGGTCTTTTCATGGTGCCGGCCTGTTCATTTTGAGTTATTCTTTCGATTTGTCACGATATTTTGTTATGAATGTTTATATAAATTTGTTATAATTATGATGTTTTGACTATAAAATATTACAACCAGATTTTAAAAGATTAAAAAAAACGCCAGTAATATTGATTATAAAATAAATATACCATCACGTGGTTATTAAATCATCTACTTTGGATTTGAGTAAATTACATGAATGGTCCCTATGGTTTAACTCGAAAGGTCCCTACTGTTTGTTTTTGTTACGCGCTTGGTCCCTGTCTTATCCAAAAAGACTATTTTGCCCTTCATTTTTTAATTTATTTAAATAAACACACCCCTAACCCCAACCCCACCCTCCTCACCTTACCTTATCTACCCCACCATTTTTCCCTATTTAAATAATAGTCTTTTTAGGTAAGATAGGGATCAAATGCGTAACAAAAACAAACTGTAGGGACCAAATGCGTAACAAAAACAAACATTAGGGACCTTCCGAGTTAAAAAAATAAGTTAGGGACCAAACGCACAAATTACCTCAAACCATAGGGCCCATTCGTGTAATTTACTCTTTGGATTTCAATATCTCAAATCAGGACAACTATTTTGAAAAACCAGCTGGAACACCCCTAAACAATTTGTGAAAAAGACAAATATTTAGTTCTTTAGTATTATTTATGTTTATAATTGGACAAACTAATGATTGGAGATTGGAATATTTAGCTTTTTTTTTTTTTGAACTTTTTTTTTGTTGTTTGCCATCTCCATTTATAGTTAGAAAACAGACAAATTACCAAACAAATAAAAAATAAAAATTTAGCATACCTAAACAACTTTACAATAAATGTACCATATATTTTACTTTTTAAAGCAAAACTCTTGCATTTCCTTATCTTCTTATAATTTATACGTAAAATCAAGTTGTTTGTCGTTACTATAGAAATTTATATAAAATTATCATATCATTAGGTGACTACCTACCTTGTTCTCCATCTTAAAAAAAAAAAAAAAATTATAAAACACGTTAATATTAAATGATAAAGAACGTTAACAATGCCAAAATCGAGTAAACTAACCACTGTAAATGAGTTTTATTTAAAAATAAAAAAATATTAGTTTTGAAAAAATATCATTTACTCTCAAATGCTATATTCCCGATTTGATCTCTAAATTTCAGAGTTATTTTAAGTTTTTTTTCCAAAGAAATATTTCAACTTATGTACGAAATATCAATTTCGAAATGTTTAATGTCACCGTTTTTCAATCAAATATATAATTTTAAAGTCCCAAGATCGTATATAGTTCACATTTACAACGTTTGTTTAATTTTTTGTTAGATTTAAATAAGAAAATGTTTTTTTTCTCGAAATTCTGGAAATGTTCATCGAATTTCGAACATGTTTTGAAATTTCGAATTTATTTATTTAACTCTGAAATTTCAATCCGGAATTCCGGAATGTCATCCAAAATGTACTTTCTCAATCCGGAATGCTCATTTTGGACTTAGTGGTAATTTTTTCTAAAACAATTTTTTTGATTATTTTCTTTTGGGAAATAGACTTATTAAGGTAATTAACTTTTTTGTTTGTTTACATCTGGGTAACTATCTTTTTTTGTACACATTTAGGTAACGAATTTTTTGGAAGTGTTCATATATGACCATTATGACTGGATGTAGCAGGTTTCATCCGGTCATAACTGGTCATAATAGTCATATGTAAACACTTCCAAATCGTTCGTTACCTAGATGTGTACAAAAAAAATAGTTACCCAAAGAACAAACTAAAAAGGAAGAGTAAATTACATGAATGGTCCTTATGGTTTGGGTAATTTGTTTGTTTGGTTCCTAACTTATTTTTAAACTCGGATGATCCATACTATTTATTTTTGCGTCTGTTTGGTCCATGTCTTACCTCAAAAGACTACTATGGCCTTTTTAATTTATTTTTAATTAATTTTCTTATTTATGTATTTATTTTTTATATATTTAAAAAAATTAATATACCCTATATATTTGTTTGTATCTCCTCACCCTAAACCTGAAACCACATTTGAGAAATTTAAGTTGGGTCCCACCAGTCAAAATCCCATCTCTCATTCTCCTCAATTTCTATTTCATTTCCATCTTTAGTGACATCGACGTCTTCACCATCCCTTCTTTTTTCGGTCCTTCAACTCCGACGAACCAACACCACAACCCACTGTCTTTTCATTGAATTTTTCACCAAGGGTTGTGGTGTTGGTTAATCGGAGTTGAAGGACCGAAAAAAGAAGGGATGGTGAAGACGTCGATGTCACTAAAGATGGAAATGAAATAGAAGTTGAGGAGGATGAGAGATGACATGATGACTAGTGGGACCCAGCTTAAATCTCTCAAATATGGTTTCAGGTTTAGGGTGAGGAGATACAAATATGTGGGGTCTATGAATTTTTTTAAATATATAAAAAATAGATACATAAATAAGAAAATTAATTAAAAATTAAATAAAAGGGGCACAATAGTTTTTTGAGGTAAGACATGGACCAAACGCACAACAAAAATAAACAGTAGAGATCATTCGAGTTAAAAAATAAGTTAGAGACCAAACGCACAAATTATCCAAACCACAGGGACCATTCGTGTAATTTACTCTTACCTTTTCGGTTTGTTCACATCTGGGTAACTATCTTTTTTTTGTACACATCTAGATAACGAACTTTTTGGAAGTGTTCACATATGACCATTATGACCGGCTGTAGCAGGTTACATCCGGTCATAAATGGTCATATGTGAACACTTCTAAAAAGTTCGATACCTATATGTATACAAAAAAAAATAGTTACCCAGATGTGAACTCCGAAATTCAGTTCGGAATTCGGGAATGTCAATCCAAGATGTAGTTTCCTAATCCGGAATGTTCATTTCGAACTTAGTGGTTATTTTTGCTAAAAACAAATTTTTTGATTAATTTCTATAAATACATGTTAAATTGTGGTTAGATTACTTAATTTCCTTATTATATAATCATTATAGTTTTCAAATTAACATGGATAGTATTTTATAATTTTTCACATATTTATATAATCATTACAATTATCAAATTTTCATGAATAAAGAATTTCATTAATATCCTTAGAAACTTTAAATATTACTTCCATATCCTCATAAAGTTTAAAATATATATCCGCTTAAACTATAAAACTTACGTTAATATCCAAACTTATAATTTTATAAGGTTTTAATTAAGTTAAAATTAAAAAACTTATCTGTAAATCAAAATTCCAAATGATTGTACTAAAATACCTTTCTCATATTAAATATTAACATTAAACCAATTTAATTAGGATTAAACCTAATTAAATATTACTAAACTTCCTGGACGTAATTTACTTCATGCCGTCGATTACTTTCAATGGGGAGAAAAACCACAATCAGAAGATATGGTCGAATGGTAGAAGAATCTATGGATTCGTTAGGAATCGATAGTCGTTAGCTGGACATACGAGTCACGGCCGGGAAGAGGAAGGATCAACGACGGAGCTACTAGCTACTAGTTGTAAAGGAAAGGACAAGATCATCAGAACATAAATCGACACATTCCTCCAAAGTTGTATCACTTCATAAGTGCATCCCTGATATGATCTCCCTCCAACATACAATCCATTCCTACCTTTAGTCCCTTTTTTATTCCGTCGGAATCCCAATTTCTCTCTATTCTTCTCACCTTCAACCTAAAACTCCCCAAACCATCACCTCAACAATACTAGTTTTATCATTTACTTTCTCTTTCCTCCTCATCACAAAGACTTTCATAATTGAATCCCTTAACACCCACAATAAAAAATCACCGTCTTTCGTCGGAATCTACAATTTTATCCTCCAAACACAACTATGGAACTCCTTCGTAATCATGTCACACTCCTTAGTATCCACCAAAGTTAAAATAGAAACAAATTTAAGCTAAATATTGGCCATCTTATATAGATTATGACATAAAGCTCAGTCATATCATAATAACTTATAATAAACATACCACATAAATCATTGATCCTTTTGGATATTTCTTTCACATCATTCTCTTCTTTCTTGATAATATTGGAATAAGGCCTGATTCCATGCATGTAAATTCCTCATTGAAGTTAGTTAAGTATGGCTAAATATTTTTTAATCAACAAATAAATGTAATCCATAGGGAAAACTGTATGCACGATATTGAGCTCTAGTGAACAAATTATTCTTGTCATTAGATAAGGCTTTATAAAGGACGCCATCTTTTGCATAAAAGTCGTTACAAAGGCTTGTTTTTATGTTTTAAATAGTTCAAAAAGTATTTAACACAGTAGGGAGACCACAATGCATCTAGAACTATATATACACAACTAGAAAACAAGGGTAATACCTACGACACAATCCGTAGGTATTCCGTAGATATAAAGCAATACCTACGGAATTGCTACGGAAAAAGGCCTGTAGCATAATAGCCCGTGGGAAATTTATACCTACGGAATTGCTACAAAATACCTATGGTATTTTCTGTAGCTAAAATACCTATGGAATAGCTACGGAAAGCAGCAGCTACAGTTTACCTACGGATTAACGACGGGACCCACTTTGACTAACATTGACTTCATTACCTACGGATTTCCTACGGCTCACATTACCTACGGATTTTCCGTAGGTAATTACTTTTAATTTTTTTTTTTAAAAAAACAACAAAAAATTATTAAAAAAATCCATTTTTTTCTGTCCAAAATATTAAAAAAACTCATTACATTAACCTAATAATAATATTGAAATTCAACCACAAATCAAATAATATTACAATAAACCTCATAAACCTAAAAAAAATATCAAATACAAATACATATTACTAATGAAATAACAATTTACAATAAACTTGGCATCCTTTAGCTTCAAATATAGATATCACCAATCTAGTAAGTAGAATCCTATTCTACAAAGGGTAATAATGTCAAAACAATATTGGTACCATTCAAGCTCTCAAAACTTCGTTGTCATCTTGATTTAATGGCAGCATGGACCTCTTCACTCAAACTTGTATGTAACTTGATCCTGCAATTGGAAACAACCATAATAAGGCTAAGACATACACATACAAATCAGATGACATATACATAAACACATACATATCTGATTAGACACACACACTCAAATATTACTTTTGAGCAGCAAAAAGCATATATGATTCAATCTGATCATGTTTAGTTCAACCAAAACCAGGTAATATTCTAGATTTCTACTGCATTTTCTCTTTAAAATTAGAAGCATCCTTGAATTCTGAAATAAACGTGCAAAAATGAGCCACTTTTTACATTTCCATTAGGTACTTAACTTTGTGATGTGCAGTTAAATTCCTTCTGCAAATGCAAGAAATAGCAACGTATTATCATTGGGTTTTTTGTCTATAGAATCCCACAACACTGATGACATGAGGCATAAACTATCTCCAGCAGAAGAGTGAAACCAATCACATGTGGGAAATTAAGAAAGTGAATATCATAACCTCAAAATTCATCCCTAACTCCAAATCAGCCACCATTACGCCCAAAATTTCAATTATCAGAAATTGAAAATCCAAAACTCAAGAGAAACCCTTAAAATAATGGCAAAATCAATGCAGTCTGATAAAAATTGGAACAAAAACTAAAGAAAATATGAAAAAGAATTGTATTTTTCACCTGAAAATCGATCTTTGAGAGCTGCAATGGTGGTCGACTTGCTTCACCTGAAAATCGATGTTTGACCTGCAAATCGAGCCTGATGCTTCGCCTGCAAATCGATGTTACACCAGCAAATCGATCTTGGTGGGTGGAAATGGTGGTCCGTCGAGAGAGAGAGAGAGAGAGAGAGAGAGAGAGAGACGGAGTGGAGAAGAAATCGAGCTTCACCTGCAATGAAAATCTGTTAGAAAAATCTAGGGTTTTACGTGGGAGAAGAAATCGAACAAAGAGGGTTCGACGGAGGATGCGACGGAGCGGAGAAGAGGACGACGGCCGGAGAAGTGATGAACGCGAGGGTTTTTTTGGGGAGCGTTCACAGAAGACAGATAAGGGAGGAAGAAGGAAACGGAATCGATCGTTTCTTTTTAGCAAAAAAAACCCTAATGTGGAATATGTAATGGCAAGCGACAAAAACGAAAAAAAAATGGGCAGGAGATTCGAACTCGGGCAAGAAGCATAGAATGTTCAAGATCATACCATTCAACAGGGCATGCCGCATCCGTTTACGAAGGATCGATATATGTATTAATACAATACCGAATTCCTTTCATTTCCTTTATTATTATTATTATTATTATTGTTTTATTATTATTATATATATATATATATATATTAAAATTCTCTTTGCTTAGCTACAGTATAATGGGTTTTTTTTGTCTGATTTTCCCCTTCTATTTTGGTGGTATTATCTTTCTTTGCTTCATTCTCAGTTGTTAACTTTCTTTTTAATTCCTTTTTATATCTTTCTGAGTTTTTGACTATTCCCCTTTCTATTTTATACGTGTCTTTTGCCCTGTAGTTTACTTTCCACGTGCTACTCTCATCTTTCTCCCTATTTCTTCTTCGTTGAACGTCACTCTGGTTTACTTTACACATGATACTCTCTTCTTTCTCCCTCTTTCTTCTTCCTTCAACGACCACCGCTGTTCCTTTTCGTTCTTCCTTCTTTTTTGCCCAGGTAACTTCTCTCCGTTATTGTTCTATTTTTCCCTTCTGCTATTGTATTTTTTTTTACATTCTCGGCTCTGTTTTATCCACCTCTTTTCTGATGGCTGTTCCGGCGAAGCGGACATCTGCAACTGCTTCTTCCTCCTCTGCTCCTCGGTCTCGCAGGTCTCGACATCTAGCATTCTTTTCCGGCCTTCCTCAATACGTGGATTCTGGTGACTGTACCTGCGTTTGTCAATTCTGTGGTGAATATTTCTGGTATGTTGAAAGGGTGCTTAAGTTCTCCATGCCTGCTCATTCGACGACGCGTGCAACTTGCTCCTCTTTCGTTCTTTTCTGCTCATCAGTTTGATTTCCAGGTATTTGCTACACTTCATTTTGGTTTTTTTCCCTATATTGTTATAAGCTTCCGTGTTTTCTGCGATTTAGGATTTATACCGATATCGATTTGGGGGTCACAGTATCCATGGCGTTCATCGGCTGTTCCCTTAATCCATCGCTTCACACGATGAAAGCGGACGCGATGAGTAGTCGGCCGTCATTTCTAGGTAAAATCAATGGTCTCATCGTAACCTACACAATCTAAACTGAAATCGAGGGGTTGCTTGGGACGTTAACGGTTAATTATCGATTGATTCGCTCTCTAGAATCTCGACTTTTGCCATTATCGATCGATTTCAATATTCTACTTCTATTCTTCTGCCGACTACCCTTTGACTTTACGGAACCAATATCGGTAACACAATCAGAAAACAAAAGTTTGTCAAATCACCATGAAACCATTATTGATTTATTCACTGCAACTTTTTATTCGTTGTCCTGCACAATCGAAAAATGAAACCTGTAACTAAACCTTATGAGACTTTTTAATACATGGCTTCTCTTTTTTTTTTTGTTATTAATAATTGATATTTTCTTCTTTGTGGGTGTCAGTTGATTTTTGTGTGCTTTTAGATGTATACATCGACCTGTAATACAGAAGGAATCATGAAGAGAATGAATGATGCACAGAAGGTGTTCTATGAAATGCTTGACTGAAATGAATAATACATGGCAGAGAAGGAAAATGGAGACTAAAAGAAAAGCAAGGAAGGAATTTAATTTGATTCCAATTTCATGTTTGGTTGTAAATGAATTGAGTGACTTTGTTCAATGTAACAACTTATTTGGCCTTTAATGTGTTTGTATTTAAATATTAGGAATCTTCAATTGGTTTCTCATTATGTAATGATTTGATTAAGTTGTTGTGTTGGAATTTCAGGTGTATGCGAGATAATAGAGGATGGGGAAGGTAGCGTCCAGGCCCTCCACTTTATCGGGTGCCTACATACAACTCAACACTTCTAATGATGGTTCTTATTTCATGTCATTTATGGAATATTACACTAAGTTCTCCATCAGTTCCGACTCGAATTGTTCCATGTTCACAAAATTCTGAATTGTGCATCTATATATAACCTCTCATTCCAAAATTTGTGTTCATCTTTTGGTCCTATATTGCAGGCCACAGAAGGATTTGGCTTGATTTAGTTTCTGTCATTGGCTGTCTAAAATTTGGCTTGAAGAAGACATGACAATTAGGCAAAACAAGGTGTAAATTGGTGTCAAGGTAATTAATGAATTTTTTTCTTTTGCGTCTAATGATGCTTAATGTAAGCTTGATTGCAGTAGGACCTGGTCTTTTAGATGATGAAGGAACCACCGTTCTTTACTCAAAATATGCAGGGAATGATTTTAAATGAACGACACTCCTTGAATCTGATTTTCAGAATACCAAAAATGCCCTTGCCTTTCTTTCGGTTACTAATTCATCAAAACGATATGGTGAGTAGTGACCTTAGCAGTCACACAACTTTAAATAACACAAATACGAGTTATTTTTTGGACAAAATTACTTTTAAATGCTTTACAGTAACAACTTTACAATTTTTTTTTTTTTGTGGAATATGGTTATGAATCATAACATTAATCCTTAGTTAATGGTCAGATAAAAGCTAATTTAATAAAGTTATATGGTAGATAAGATTAGTTGATTTGATGAAAATCTGATCATTTATAGGCCTACATTGCATTATTATTGCTTAATTCTTATTAATTTATATGCTATAATTGGGTCTATTATCATTTCTGACCTTTTGAAAACATCTTCTAACTTGGAGGAATTCAGGTGTTCTTCCACCAGGATGGTGCTGAAGGGGGTGTTTCTTTATCCGACGCAATTTCCAAATGCACCAGATTCTTTTTAGGTGAAATTGTTATATTGGGTTATACTCCTGAAGATTGGTGGTCGATCCGCAAACAAAATTGTTTTCGGTGAATGGGTTAAAGTTACTGGTGAGTTCTTATAATCTTTATGGATGTGGGTCCAGACTTTGAAACTCGAAATTTGAGTTTTTTTTTCTTTGTTCACTTTTTTTTAGGTTGAAAGGAGGTATAAAGGTTACACAATAGAATTCCTATCAGTTGAGGGAATTTTTGATTTGCTTTTAGAGTTGTTGCTGGTAATTCAACTCCCTTAATTTTTTGTATGTTGTTGTTTATTATATTTAAATGGGTAAAAACCGTCATAGTTCTTGAATGTTTTAGTACCATGACCATTCCTAATGAACTGAGCAGAATTCGTGTTTTGAATAACTTTGGTGTTGTTGGGCTTCAAACACAAATCATCAGAATGGTGACTCTTTTCCAAACACAAGAAGGCCTTGCTGGGATGTTTTGTAAAATCGAGAAAGTAGTTTTATAACATATATTTACATGATGTGAAATATAAAATATGATTTTATTTATTTATCAATTTATTGTCATTTACTTTTGCAATTGGACACATTTTTGAATGCCTCATTGATATTGGAATGTAATGACTCATTCCAATTCCATGGTCCAATTTCATCATGTTATCACGCCATAATCTGTCATGGTAAGTTTCGGATGTTTTGTGGTTTGGAAGAACTAATGTGTCACACCGTAGACTTAAACATGGAGCAAAAAGATTATGAAGATGAAGGACTTCTACCTGGATGGGATAACACATATCAAATAAAAGAAGAAGTGGAACATATGCTTACACCACAACTGTTTCAGCAATTTCATCAGGTGGTGGAATTTGGCATATATCAACCAAAATAGGGCAATGTACTTTCATTTTAATGTTTAGTTTTCTGTAATTTGGATCAATACAAAATACCAATGTACATTCATTTTTTTACCGTGTTTGCAAATGGACGAATTGCAGAGAATAGCAACATATTTTATTGTGTCTACCAATTAAGTCGATGTACTATAGTTGCACACAAAAGCAACACCTTCCAACCCCAGCAACGCGGGGGGAACACATCTACTTATTATTATTATTATTATTACTATTATTGTTTTTTTCATTATTATTATTATTATTATTATTATTATTATTATTATTATTATTATTATTCGAGTCTTAATTTTTTTTTTTGGATATATTTTCTTACATATTTAAGACACGAACAGTTAACTTTCTAAAAAGGGTCAACTTTCTAAAAAGGGTCAACTTTCTAAAATTGGATTTTTGATGCATTTTTAATATAGCAACATAGTCCAAATAAAAAATTTCGCGCTGACCTGGCAGCTCGATCCCAGCCAGGGGCTCTGCCCCTTGGACCCCGCCAGGGGCGCTGCCCCCGAACCCCCGTTCGTTTAGGGGCTTCTCCCCTAAATAACAATGTACTTTGAATCTTGAAAAACTTGAACAAGTGTGCACTCCTACACCATCCTAACTTGTTCATTATTTAACAAGATCACTTTTTGTCAACAATTTTAATCATATTACACTTAAAAAATATTGATGATATAAAATCACCAACAAACCTCCCCCATTTAAGTGTAATCCTAATTAAACTTAAAACAAAACATAAACAACAACAAACTGATGCATAAATGATGACGATGAGGATGATAATTATGATGATGACGATGACTATTGATAGTGTGATGGTGATGGTGATGGTGGTGGTGGTGGTGGTGATGATGATAATAGTGATTGTGATGGTGGTGATGATGATGGTGATGGTGATGGTGATGGTGATGGTGATTATGGTGATGGTGATGGTGATGGTGGTGGTGGTGGTGGTGGTGGTGATGGTGATGGTGGTGGTGGTGGTTGTGATGGTGATGGTAATGATGGTGGTGGTGTGATGGTGGTGGTGGTGGTGATGGTGGTGATGATGATGGTTGTGTGATGGTGATGGTGGTGATGATGATGGTACTGGTGATGGTGATGGTGATGGTGATGGTGATGGTGATGATGGTGATGGTGGTGATGGTGATGATGGTGATGGTGATGGTGATGGTGATGGTGATGGTGATGGTGATGGTGGTGATGGAGATGGTGATGGTGGTGGTGATGGTGATGGTGATGGTGGTGGTGGTGGTGGTGGTGGTGGTGATGGTGGTGGTGATGATGATGGTGGTGTGATGATGGTGGTGGTGATGGTGGTGATGGTGATGGTGGTGATGATGGTGGTGGTGTGATGGTGATGATGATGGTGGTGTGACGTTGTTGATGATGATGATGGTGGT